TGTCCAGACAAGATTCAGCAAGTGCTACTTACTGTTTTAGACGTCTTCTTTGTTGAAGATGTTATAACTTATGTACATTTTTGTGTATAAAACCTATTTCCTGTCTTTTCGTTGTGTGGAGAGATGATCTGGTCCGTTACAACTTTTCCAGGATGAAAAACCGGCATGGCCGTCAACACCGGCATGGACGGCAGCACGTCAACACCAAAAGAGGGGCCTCGCGTCTGGATGTTGTCTGAATGGATTCACAAGGGCCGAACGTATGGATGCATCAAATATCTATAATAAATATATTATGGGTGGGTCTTTATGGAACATTTATGGGGCACGCCCTCACACCCTGGCTGGGTAGAGTCTATGTTCCTTCTTCCCAATGTTTTTTTGGCAAGTCTCCCTATTTTAACACTGTCACTGTCACACACATAATATCGATCTGCGTACTGAAATGTACTGAATCCTGTGAGCAACTGTCCCTATTTGATCCTATTTGGAAGTGTTCGCTTCCTAGCTTTTCAGTACTGAAGAGTGGGCATTCCTCCCAAACCGAGGCCAAACCGATGGGATTGAAACCTTCTCCGCCTTTCTCCCAACCAACACCCTAAATCCCTCCCTCAAAACATCTATAGACATCCCTCAAACGCACCTCTCTTCCGGTTGAACCCCCCCCCAGTCATTCCTGCTCCAACAAACAAAAACTTTCGCCTTCTAGCCGGAACCGACGACCGGGTCTCCCGGGCTCGGTCTGCGCCATCGACCCGTGAGCGAACATCCGCTTCTCCTTCAGCAGCCTGGCCGCGTGGGCACACAGCGACGCGCCGCGACTGCGGAGACCTCGAGGCGACGGCTGCGACGGTCTGCGGCGTCTCGGTCCCAACGAGGCGACGCGGCGAGGCACGAGACGCGCGAGGAAAGCGAGAGAGAGAGAGAGAGAGACAGCAGCTGGGGCGGCCGAGGTCTTTTGAGAGGAGGTTGGCAGGATGTGGCGCATGGTGTGTGGCGGGTGGAGTTGTTCTCTCTCTCTCTCTGTAGGGATCCCTATACCTTCTCAGGTTCGGTACCACTGGAGCCTCCGGCGGCACCGACCCATCAACGAATCTCCCAAAGGGAGGTGGATCCAACCCACAAAAAGGCTCTGCCAACGTGGCGACGGAGGGGGGGTGTCCTGGACAGCTAGGGGGGTCTTCCTTTTTCCCGGAACTTCCGTCGACTGGACGAAAATGAACTACTCCACCTGGTAGGAAGTCAATCCATCCACCACTAGCCATTGGGGTAGAATCTGGTAAAATGACTGGACTTGAAAGGGATTTGGTGTGGGGGGGGCACAGGCCTTGAAACTCGTCTTGACCAGCGAAGCCACGTCTGTTCGATCAGCGAAGCCACGGAACTTGGAACTCCTGGAGGTGTTGCTCCTTCATGCGACCGGATATGTATCACGTTCTTTCGACCACCACATGGGGGGACGAACCGAGGTCCGCAGGGGTCGAACCGATGCCCAATCGTTTGCCGAGAAATTGGCAGCACGTCCAGCCCGATGTTCATGGATGTTCATTGCTCTATAGACTGTGATGTTCGGAGGTGATGAACCTTTCTTCCATCACAACAGTTGAATCTGGGGGTTACTTGGAGTAAAAAACTGTGTGGTGAACCTGGAGCAAGCAACAAAAACAACGGAACATGGTAGAGACGGTGTATCCAGACTCCAAAGTTCCCTACTTCAGTGGGTGGTATACCATCGTTCTTCAACAGGACGACGACGCTGCTGTTGGAATTTGACCACATGCAGAACAATCCCCCCGGTGAAATGAGGAAACGAGCGAGTCTACAAGTGGAAGAGCAATCGACTGCCACGAAAAACCCACCCCTGGCAGTTCAAGGCCAGGCCAATTGACACCCACTTTTTGAGTGGCCAGATGTTCCATCAACTGCAGGGAACCCATGCTGTCTTCGGCCTGGTTCGGACCATCCACATGATCCACATGGCTTGCTTCGGGCTCCGAAATCGATCTGAAATCCGTTCGGACGTGAACACGAACCAACGCCGCTCCGTCTCGCCCGTTAATGAAGGCGGTCAACGGAGCGGAGCCCCCGCCCCGCTGGGTGTCTCTCCCCTGGCCAACGAACATGGAACCTCAGAATTGATGTGTGGGGCTCGACCAATTCCTCTATACCAGCACCACCCAAAGGGTTGTTATTATAGATGGAAAATACATCTTCAGGGGGGTCTATAACACGAACCGAGACTGGGACTGCTGAAGGTTGTATAACTCGAACATACGAGTATTAAATCACGATGGAAGTGGAGAGCACACCACCTGTTTGGTCTTCGGATTCGTCATCCGATTTTCAAGGCCATGCCGGTTTTCTGCCATCCACTTGACTTAGTAAGACTTAGTCATCTCAGGGAGTGTATGCTTCACAATCATCTGATTCAAGTGATCAGGTGTATCAGATGCAGGGGGGAGCAACATCCAAACCAGGCATTATTTACATTGACCCCAACCACCCCCAACCACCCGCGATCCGCCACTAGCGCCATGGGAATTGACGACCAGGTCGTCGACCACGGGCTTCGGCCTGGTCTTGTAGGCCTCCGCCTCAGGGCGCCACTCCTGCTGCGACTCGGGAGACGCGAAAGGCCGAAGTCAGTTAGAAAGCAAATGTCCCTCAACCCAAACACCACCCACAGGACTGGCAGCATACCAAGGTAGGTGGTCGCAGCATACCAGGCTCCTTCTGTCCTTCTTTCATCGCCTCACCCGTGAAAGAGCTCGGTATGGATCCGAGAGATGAACAGGAACGCAGTGGATGGTATCCCTAGAAGTCGAAGCACCATGGTTTTAATAGCCTTTACCGAAGCACCATTGTTTTACTATAAGGGTTTTACATTACAAAACCAGATCATACCTGATCAACATAGATCAACCATTATAAAAATGGTCGACCATGATTTTGAGGGGTATGGTGATCTTTAAAAAAGAAACCACGGCCCCCACCACTCTTTTGGTCGACCTGTGACCTGTGACTCGCTTTGGCAAAACCGTTTGAGCAACAAAACGCCTGCTCAACGAGTGAAACCATTTGAGCACCTCAAGAGTGGTGCTCAAAGCAGGTTAAACCATGCTGCTGTCCACACGAGGTGTCCTTTTTTTTTCAGCAATGTCTATACATCATGCTTCCCTAGCCTGGAATGCTGCACCCCAATCCTCTCTGATTTTATTTCTGGGTATTTCTTACATTATGTTATACTGTACCTTGTTCCTCTAAATGTCGCCTAAAATTCCGTCAACCCGTCGTGCCCCCTCCTCAGGCTGCAGCTTCCGCAGCCGGAGCACCACTCCACTGATCTCCACGGCGATCCTGGAAGCGCCGATGCTCCCGTCGAGGGATCTCCGAGTGTTGCAGGGGCGTTTCGTGAGCTTTTGGCCTCCACTAAACTCTGGAAGGGAAGAGGTGATATTCAGAAGGGTTCATCTGAAAGGTGAGTCTACCTAGAACCTAAGTGACCTTTGTTTTGGAGGATCTATCTCCAGCCTAGGCTCCATCCTTTTCCTATCATAAAGGTCAAAAGGGTCCTTCACCCGGTGAGACCGGTGAACTCCTCTTTTTCCCGGATCTTCCCAGAACCCGATGAGGCTGCTGCCGTCCGTGCATTCCAGGGAAAACAACGCCAACGACATGGAGGATTTGGGGAAGGGGGTGGCGAAATGTCGGTCTCATTCACCCCTATTGCAGGTGAAAACAAGCCGAATCTCAGCTACTGAGAAGAAGAATCCTGGAAGACAAGGATTCTGGCTTGTCAAACCCTGTGCGTTGGAGCATTCCGCCTTCAGAATGAAATCTGCCCGCAAATCCACCAAGTCGGATCACCGTCACCAAATCCAGTCGCCACCTACCATCTTCCTGTCTTCCGGCCTTCACCGGAGGGACAGTCCACGAAATCACCCAAGCCCTTCAATCGGAGTGGGGCTTCTTGGCGCACCGTGCGCCAGCGCCTCTCGCTGTTGATCTCGACCTTCACCTGGCACAAGTCGAAGGTTGCGATGTTCTCGTGCCCGCAGAGAAGGAACGGATCGGGTCAGTGGATGGATTTGGGGGTTCAAAGTGGCAAGAAGATTACTGAAACTGGATAAACCACGCAAACTTTGGATATATGCGACATATACAGGATGGGACATGGGGGTTTGTTGACCCACACCCAGATTTACAGTTGAATACTTATGAATACTTTACAGAGTTTGGGTTTCTCTTCCATCGGGGATTGTTCTGAAAGGTCTGGGATGCATTCCCCGGTCAAATGGATCTTGGTGCAGTGCCACTCCCTCCAGTGAGGATCTCTGTCTGTTACGAGAATCTTTCAGCAGCCTCCTCCAACAAACATCCCGAAACGTAGCATGCCTGGATAGAAACGGTGACGGCAACATGCGGCAACTAGCCGCTAGTAAGCAACTAGCCCTCCTGAAACTGGTACCCTTGGTATGAAAGGCGATCACAGCTTCTTTCGCACAACAATCACGACCAATAGGTCCCCACTGCATCACTGTGTTCTTTCCTGAAAAAAATTACCAAACAACTGCGCCACTTCGGCTTTTGGAGTCGGTATTCAGTCTGAGAATCCGCAACTGAAAGCAATGGATCTAGCATGATCTAGAGAGCATGTCGTACACTTGTGGATCAAAGCAGCCACAAAGCAGCGCACGCGGGCGATAAAAAGCTTTGTTTTCTCCACCTTTCAATCTTCAAGCAGTACGTACAACTACGAGCCGGCTTAGCTGTGGCACGTCTGTTACTCAAATTGCATCCCGGTCCATCTGCACATATATTAGTCTGGGTGACAGTTGCCTCGGCCTTTGCCTACCAGTTCAAGCCACTGAGAATCATGGTGTTGGGTTGTAAACAACTTGCTTTGAGGTTGACCAAATCTTCAAAGCACTACTGTATGTGTTTATTAATACTATTAAGTTATAAATTGTATAAATTCATATAGTTTCTAAGCTATTATACCAGGAATGCTGTCAAGCTCCAAACGGCAACCGGGTGAAACTGCGTTCAAGATTACATCACTGCTTGGTAAACTCGTCGGGTCCTTTCTTGGATCCCTTCTTCACATGGTGCTTGTGCACCTTTTTGAACCTTTGCCATTTAGAAGCCGAGAACTCCTTTGGTCCCCAACTTGCATCTGATTCACTATTAAAAGTGAAGCCAGCTTTTTCATAGCAGCGGATGGCACGCTGGTTCCTGGCTAACACACTTAGCTCTACTGTCTCACATTTCCAGCCCAATCCTCAGTTCAGGGTAATGTTGTTGTTTTCATGACCTGTCTGTTCGAGGACGGCTTGCGGTCAACCGGCTAGAACGCTCAGCCCTTCATCCTCCTTCCAAACATGTTGCATTAGAACGCAGCAATTGTGTTTGGAAAGTCTCTGCCGCTGCCGAGTCTCGATGGCTATAGTCTTCAGCTGCCTTTAGGAGGAGCCCACCGATGCCTCTGCCGGCATGCTGTGAATCAACCTGAGGGCTGCCCGACAGCTATCCATTGCACCAACAGAAAGCTAAATGTGCGTTTTCTTGCCAAGCCCTCCGAAGGCTTCTACACCCAAAAGGCATAGAGAACAATTAAACAAGTCATGATGCATCCCTTTGCTCTCTACCAACTGGCTGGAGAGCTCGTTTCGTCCGAGCAACTTTGATGTGCGAAATGTTAAGGGCCTTTTTTTCCTCTCAGGAAGGGTCCCGAATCGATTCGGAAACCGAACTTTGGGAGTTTGCGACTGTCAAGAACCGAAGTTTTTGCAGGAACCGAATGTAAACAACCGTCCATGTTCCAACCACCACCGAACCGAAACCTTACTGTCCTCTGCATATGTGCAATGGATGTACCCGGCGACGTCTTTGTTTGCGGTCTCGATGGCCGGCAGAGTGAAATGGTGTGGATTGGCATCCGATAGAACTGTCTGGCGGCGGTTCCAAGCAACCCCCGGCTGGAAGTCACACATGCACTGCACTCCTCACTAAAAATAGTTAAAATCACTGAACATATCTTAACATGATTTAAAGTCTACTTCATTCTACTTGACATGACATCCCTCTTCCAAGTCCTCCATGTCTCTTATGACTCTGCACAGGCACAGTCTCTACTCATGCTTTGACAACGCTTGTGACACGATGCAGCTCATCCGTGTACGCAAACAGCACGCAAAACATGTCATTTTGGAGAGTGACTGCGCCGTTGCAACGCTCCACGCCTTTATCCCTTTCACTGCATCATTCGGGGGCTGTAGCGCATCTGTCAACACGCCCACGGATTTGGACCATTGCTCATGGGTGAGCTTCCCAAACCATGATTCATGTTGCATGAGCCTCACAGTTCACAACTTCAGTTTGGCCATGCAAAGCATCACCTGTAGTAACTGTAGTAGGAGGTATCAGTAGAAGGTAGCAGTAGACGTCACACACACAAAACACACAAACTTGCAACCAAAGCCACTTTGCATGGTCCACAACAAAGTGCTTTTCCAGAACCCGAAGTTTTGCTGCGGTGGTGGGCGATGACACTTTGACAACGGAGTATCCGCCCTCTGACTTTAGCAAGTCCTTGTCAGGCAACTTCACGCCATCTTTTGCGTCACACTCATTGCAATTAAACATGCAACAGAATTTGGGTACCAACATCCCACACTTTTCGGTCACCCCGCCCCCATACACCTCGCACTGCATATTCTCAGTCAAACAACGTGCAAAGCCATGCAACCTTTGCCCGAGAAGAAACTGGTTCTGGCGATATGTCCCCTTGTTTCACATCTGCAACTCCAAACATTTCGTCAACCGTCCTTTTGCTTGAAGTCCGCCGTCTCGATCTTCGGGTGACGCATGGGCCACTCATCGGCCCATGCTTCCAGTTGCTCAAGCGCACTTCGTGGGCGCTTATTGTGTTGTTCAACTGGACCTCGAGTGCACTTCGTTTGATGCGAAGGTTGACACGGACTTTCGACGGCTTCGCGTTTCGAACACGGTGAGAATCACGAAGGTATTGGTCTGGCAATTGCAAAAACAATGCAGGAATGTATTTTCAACTCATCATATATATATATATTGTTGCACTGATGATTGAATGCTATTTGATGCTATTTGTCAAAAATGGAAAAGGGACCAACAAATGAAGTCGAACTACTTGCAACACACAACTCGGAAATACACCCAAGCGACAAACCAGGGGCAACGTCACATGTTGGCATGTCTGGCAATCCCTGCTCTACGAATGTCCTGGCCTTCGGTCACTTCCAGGCGCCTCTTTTTCCGGGCCTGAGTACAGGCATGCGAGCACAAGCTCTTGCATATAGCTGCTATGCATAGCTCTTGCTGAACTGGGTATCTTGATGTACCATGCACTTTGATTACTTGGTCTTCTTTGGCCATCCTCTTCGACTGTTGTCTGCTTCCATCACTTTGCGCTCGTAATGAGCAATAATGATGAGTCACTTGAGGATCTGTGGATGGTTGAGTCCATGACCAGTGCATAAGAAGGGGACGGATGCGGATTTAATTACAGGGCGTACGAAGGGCAAAAAAGGACGGATGGAACTTGGCCGCCTTGGCGGTTCTTTCTCACGCCAACGACTTGCTGAATTTGGACCAGGGATTGGTGGAAACCCTAGGGCAGGCCCGTCGGGCCTTGGGGCATCCAGCCGAGCTGGAGCTGACTCACAGTGATTCGCTCACGAACGTCTTTACCGATCTTTCACGGAACAGGAAACCACACGATCACAACCACGGGGAATTTTTCGAGGACCCTTCCTGGAAAGGGGAGAGAGAGGGCAGGGGTTGAAGTGCCCCTGGCCGCGGCTCCGCACCCCGAGCGCGCAGCCGGCCTCTTGGAAGATGGCGCACAGCTCGTCCGAGGCAGCTGTCATCACGTTGTGATTCTTGTGGTTCACAATCTGCCCCCCCGGGACGGGAGAGCCGCCCGAAGAAAGAAGGTGTACTCCACGAGTCGAGCTATTTCGAAAAAGCTCAACACAAACTCTTGAAGCCACAGAGTCTGCCGCTGTACTTCACAGTCTGCAGTTACATGCACAAACAGAACCAATTAGAACATTGCAGTAACCTGCATGTTGCCAGAGACGACCTACAGAGACGACCCTACATCGCGTGTTCGAAGTCCGCCGTCGTAGTTCAGAATCGGTGCTCCGAAACAACAGTGCGTCAATGATTGAACCAGCCTCAAAGTCGGCTCCGTGGTCGAGCAGCTTCTCCACTGCAGTGATTCTGGAACGCTTAACGGCATAAAAAAGCCTCAAGCAAACTAACACAATAAAAATCGGAAGCAAGTCTAAGGCAATGGAGTAGGAAAAGTGCTGCCACTGTTTGAAACCTTGCACCAAGCCACGCTGTCTCGCCGAACTTGTCAAGTGTGTCTACGTTGGCTTTGCTGTATACGAGAAAGTTGCACGTGTTGACGTGCCCTTGGCGAGCCGCATAGAACAGTGCGGTCTGGCGATTGTCCTCAATATGTCCAAGGCATGCGGCAGAAAGTACAAAGCATATCGCAATAGTAGCTGCAACAATCCCACTCGGTCTCTCTCTCTCTCTCTACCCTCCCTCCAACTAAAATGGAAATGGACAACCAATTCCTGTTTGTAGAGGAAAAGGGTCTTTCCAGTGCCATGTTCCACTTCCATGATTGTTCATGATTGTTGGAGGGAGGGAGGGTATACATCTCTCTCTCTCTCTCTTTTCTGGACCTTATGTCAGCCCAAGAGCATCGAGGTGATTCAGCGGGACTCCAGCCCGAAGGAGAGTGTCACAAAGCTCCAGGGCCTCTGCAACTTCACTGTGCTTTCAGCAAGGAGACTTGGCCAAGGGATGAAAAGCTACGTGGCTACGTGGTGGCTACGCGTGGAAGATGTGGCCACATCAACCAACACCTTGATGCCAAGTACGCGAAAGCAAGCCTATTTGGTGCTGCAATGACACCAAGCTTTGCCGCCTCATCATCTTCTCCATATCGCGCAGCAGCGAAGAACAACAAGGTCTGCTGCATAACGGTCTTCAAGTGGCCTGGTACAGTTAACGGGGAGTATACGCATGTACTCAGGCCATACACATCGATCCCTTAAAACTGCAAGATGTAGATCAACTATACTGAGATGCAGCCGTGGCATACTATACTGGATGTCAACTTATACTTATTATAATCCTGACATGTGGATCAAGAGATTGAGATGCGGCTAAGATGCATTGGTTTGACGCCACTAGGGCTGCCACATGTTGACGTGCTTTGATGAAAGGAGCATCCTTGGTTCGCAAGACTCTTTTGCGAACGGGACATACTTCACATGAAAAAAAGAACAATCATGGATACAAATCTAAACCTGGCTGTCTTCCTTGGATTGTTGCCTTGCAGATAGTTGAAGTCAAGAACAAATAAGACCCAGATGGGGGCCCGTGACTCTCAAAGATTGGCATGTTCTAACACGTCCAAATATGAGAAGGAAAATGAGAGCTTTGCAGTGAATCCAAGTAGCCCGCACGGTCAAAAACATGTCATCTTTGTTGATCTTTATGCTTGCACGCCCGACTGGCATGCTTTTTCAAAGCGATCAACAAAGCGCTTGCTCCTTGTACCCAATCAGCTGCGGTCAAGCTGTGGTGCTGGCGACCACCAAACGGAGTCCCGGACTTGCCCAGTGTCACTTAACGTCTCTTTGTGGAAAGCGCTGCTCTCCGAAACGGCTGGGCTAGGTCGGCTGGGCTATTTTTGTGCTCCTTTGTGTCCTCCTAGAACCAAACAGTGCTTGTTGGAGAAACCTCCTTGAAGCAGATTCAGGATGATTCGGGTATTGATGTAAATAAAGAATGAGGCGAAGTGGATCTCGTTCACCGAAGTTCAGATCTGACGGTCAAACAGTTATTCAACAAAGAACCATGGGGATGACATTGGTGCTGTACACAGAGTTATCGATCAAGGAAACATGTTCAGGCTGTTTCAGCTGCCAAAACCATGACAGAATGTTGCGACAGCGGGTAGAACCTTGTGCCACATCTGTCTTGGGACGTGGGACGTCAGGTTTTTCGTGCTTTTCATGCCCCAGCAGGTGCGCTTCGCGCATGTTAAGGTGAAAGTGGAGGCACAGCCAAAGGGCACTGTAAGTTAGAGCCCAGAGATGACCTCTGTTTTGATAGGAAAATACAATTTGGATGGTTGGTGGTCCAAAATAGAGGTGTCTCAGGCTCTACTAGTAGGACTCTAGAGAAGTTAGTAAGCATATGGCCCTCATAGCACACTGTGAAATCGTCCAAGTGTTGGGCACTAGAATCACTCAGATTCGCCTTTCAGCAAAGATATGAGTGTGATCACACCGGCCCCTCGATGTCTCTCTTCCCTCCATACGCCAGCACTGGTGCAGCACTGCTAGCTAGCTACACCCTTCCACCCCGGCCCTTCTCCGCCTGCTGGAGGGTGCCGTCCTTCACGGTCAACGGCAAAATGGGCCCCACCAAGAAGCGCCAAAGGGCGCTGCTCAGCACCACCTCCTCGGGACACCGAACAGCGGCGAAACAGCCGGACCGAGTGTCAACCGGTCAGAGACTGGGGGAGATGCTGCGCAAGAGGGTTGTTTGGTGGTCTGGTTCCATGATCTCGTTTGTGAGGATGTGTTCTTTGGCTTCCCCCTGGCATCGCCGCCTGAATGGGTCATGACGGTCATGTGTGGTTCTGTGGACGAATCGTTCCGTGAATGTGCACCGGACCGGTGGGTATCAGTAGGTGGTTGCTTTGACAGGGCGCCTCGCCCTCTCCCAAGCTGGAGGCTTCGCCCAAAACGTCTCCGGCTGGACAGGACACGAACATCCTTGAGCGGATGGGTTTGGAGTTCAGGGTTTTGGGGCACTGGCAAGCGTGATCAGGGGAAGTTGATATCGGAACTGGAAGCTTGGAATACTTCACCAGAGGAGTGGATGGAAGCTCCTCCTGGATGTTCCCCTTCTTTTTTTCGTTGGCCGATGCAAATTGGCTTTCCTGTTTCTCGAGAAGCCGATTCCAGCTCTCTCCGCAAGCCTTGGGTTCATCGGTCCAATCTTTTCGCCAAACACTCCATACCCAGATTCTCCATGTATTGTACAAATGCCAACAAAAAAATCCCCCCAGCTACCACCTCAATGTATGCAAAGATGACAGTCACATCGGTCGTGTCTAGGATAGGAATGGAATATTGCCCGCCCAATTCACCCCTTTTCAAGCACTGGAATGTTTTGCAAAAACAAACAGGTCCCAAACAGGTTGTATGGGACACAGGATCTTGGGGCGAGAGGTCTTAGCACAACGTGGTCTTCCGTGAATTCTGACAAAAAACCGAGCTCAAAGCTCGAAGGATGCAAATGCAGGAGGTCCAGTTGGACCAAATTGTTGACCCCCATTGAATAGGTGATGGTCACCGTTCTTGAGATCACCTGGACCTAGACTAAACCATGATAGTGATGGTCTTTGATTCCAACGAAGAAAACCATGAAAAAACGGCATTTCCGGCCCCAGTTACTGTAGAACCTAGGACTACCTAGGCCCTACCATGGTCGATCATCTTCACCGCCTTCCGGGTCCAGGACCAAGCAAAACAAACGAGGAAATCATCGGGGCCTTGAACTCGAAGCGCACGTGGTTGTGGCTCAGATGCTCGAAGACGTAGTCGGAATGGTCCAAGTCCAAACCAACCTGGGAGTGTCTATTTTAGAGAACACGCACAGTGCAGCTCATACATATACAGCTCTAAATCTCTACCAGGATCTTCCCAATGACCATTTTGTAGTCCCTGATAAGTGACCTTTGACAGGCCTATCAGGGGATCAAGTTTGGTCACGAACGGAAGATCCGGTGTAGAACACACCGTTCAAACATGTTAAAACCCACACCTATATAATCCTCTATATAGAATATAATGTACACCAGCACCACCTATTTGGATGGTTTTGGTGGGATCACTACACACGGGTTTGGTGGTCCTCGAGGTCGAGCACCCGTTAGGTGCTGGGGTGCGTGAACTGGCGGCTCAATGGAGGGCATGGCCCCACAAACCTGGGGTGCTCGAGGAGGGGTTGGAAGCAAACTCTTTCAAAAAGCCCCCTGTCAACAAACAAGTAGTGGTAGTAGTGGTAGTATGTGGTAGTAGTCGTGGTAGTGGTGGTCGTGGTCGTGGTCGTGGTCGTGGTCGTGGTGGTGGTGGTAGTGGTAGTGGTAGTGGTAGTGGTAGTGGTAGTGGTAGTGGTGGTAGTAGTAGGAGTAGGAGTAGTAGGAGTACGAGTAGTAGGAGTAGGAGTAGGAGTAGGAGTAGGAGTAGTAGGAGTACGAGTAGTAGGAGTAGGAGTAGTAGGAGTAGGAGTAGGAGTAGGAGTAGTAGGAGTAGTAGTAGTAGTAGTAGTACTGGTTGGTAGGTAGGTAGCTAGCTAGCTAGCTAGGTAGGTAGCTAGGTAGCTAGGTTGGTAGGTAGGTAGGTAGGGTTAGGTTAGGTTAGGTAAGGTTAGGTTAGGGTAGGGTAGGGTAGGGTAGGTTAGGGTAAGGTAGGTAGGTAGGTAGGTGGGTAGGTCGGTAGGTAGGTAGGTAGTAGTAATAGTAGTATAGAAGTAATAGTAGTAGCAGTAGTAGTGGTAGTAGTGTTTGTTTTTTGTTGTTGTCGTTGCACCCTCCCCAAACAAACTCATGCATGTCAGACACATGAATTCGACATGCAATCTAAAGTGGCTCTTCCTTCAGATCATGGGAACGCTTGGAATCACATCCAGTGTGTGCCAAGTGTGTCACATCCAGTCACAGGCGACCTCAAACTTCCTAGTGGAGATATAATGCCAACATGATATGCTTGACAATGAGAGCAAATATGAGCAAATCACATGGAGGTCCCTCTTCTTCCGTAGTGGAGGGGTTGTGTGTGGTTTCTGACTCAGTCCATCTCGTCCGTCTCGTGTACTCGCACAGCACCAGTCCGTCAGATCTGCGAACACTCTTAAGCCACAGCCGCTTTCCTTACAGCGCTTCCCGAAACGCAGAGTGCGTCTTCCAACCGCCTCCTATCTCACGGGCTTGGATTGAGCCAGTTGACTAAGGGGTCAACTAAGTTGGAATCATAGAAACCCTACGCAGGTACGTCCCACTAAAGGTGATACAGACTACTGCATGAATTAATCTATAACTATTTTTTGATGAAGATGAAGATGATGTAAAACCATTCTCGGTATCAGGATGGTTTGACAATTTGATGTATCATCAATTAACATGGCCCGGCCATTGCCCTGGTTTTCCACTGCACATCAAAACACACCATACTCAATATATCTCAATATCATCAATATCTCTCAATGCTGGCGTGGCGCATAGTCGTGCAGCCAGCCACGCAAGCTGCGGAGCACGAGTGCGAAGAGCATCTGAAACGCCTCGTCCCCCGAACCCACGCGAGTCCCTAGAGTTGGACAGGCGAAGAGACACCGAACCGCAATGAACCGTAGAAGTGTTTCTTTTTTCACCAAGTCGCTGCGCCCATCCATTAAAGGCTTTTTGAAGGCTTTGGAAAATATATGGTTGTGGGCAAGATGGCCTACTTTCACCATCCAAAACCACCGAATGTAGGCCATAATCGTGTACATGGAGCGTCTGGGAATTGTTGGGCTTCGTGTGCTTCTTTGGTACGAAAGCCTCGGAAGTTGAACGGGATCAAAGGCTTTAATGGGTATACCGGTATACCCCGTATGTCGTTGTGAGGGAGCCTAGCAAATTGAGAGCGAGGGGTTCTACGGATGGCTCGGGATTTCCTGCAGGCATTGCAGCTTGAAATGCACCATTAGATTATACTTATATATAGGAAAGTGATTTGTAATATTTCCAGATTGTGCTTTGGACGGACGAACCCTAAAGGTGTTTGTGTAATAGCGCAAACACTTCAGCGAGACCTAGGGGCAAATGTTGAGGGTAAGGCCAACCAAGCCATGTGTTTTTGAGATACACAGCCTCAGTGGCTGACTTCAGCTGGCTTCATCCAAACGTGCAAGGTTTCAAGTGCAAAAATATGAAAAATGTTGCGAGCATCTTCAGCATCTGCTTCTGCTTCTGACTCGGATCTGAAAGAAACCGCTTCGCCGAGTGATCCCCCAGATTGACATCATTGGGATCCTTCTTCAGCGGTGGCTGGTAAGGGATTTCCTCATGCCAACCGTCAGGGCCTCTCAGGACCTCTCAGGACCTCTCAGGACCGTCAGGGTCTCTGGAAAGGCTCGGCACCGTGCTCGTCCGAGTCGACACACACTCGACCCCGACCCCGACCCTGGCAGCACGTGGCACATGCTGCGCCAGACGCACGGTGGACGGAGTGAGATTTCTACGACTTAATTCGTGGTGCGAAGTCCTTGGGCATGTCGACTTGGGAATCTGGAAGTGTACAACTTTTGGGTAACGTCTGAGGTGGTTGAAACTTGAAACCCAAGACTGTGAAAGAAGCAACAAGGGAGGCATTTCAATGCCCAGGGTTTATAAGTTTACTGTTTACGTTGGGAGGGCTCAGTAAACTCGTAGCTTCTGCGACCCTGCACTCCTCTGCCAGTGACTGGGGTTTTCGCTCCTGCGACCTTGCGCTCATCTTGAAGCCCTCATGAACC